ATGAATTCAAGGGACGGCACAAAATATGAATCGCATAACAGTGTGATTGATAGGCATGAATAGATCAATACTCCAACTTTGCCCACAAATGATATGATTTCATACACCTATTCATTCAATTCAATAAGAATTATTGTATACAAATGAAATAGATAATATTGCATAAATAAAATTTAAAATTTAAATTTAATTTAATGCATTCAAAAGATTTTTTAAAATTTGACTTACTACCATTATAATAAATTTTAGTGAGATATTTACAATAAATGAATTTTAAATAGTTAATTTTAAAAATTGTTTTTGAAATATTTATTAAAACATTTAAACATACATGAAATACAAAATAAAATCTCTAACTAAATTCTAGTTACTAAAATAAATACAAAAACTTTAGTTTTGATTGACTTTCAGTAAATGAAAACAATGTCTACAGGTATAGTTTAGATTGTGAACTGTAAGCTGTAAGACTACTGATTATAATCTGAATATATGGTCAAACCTTGTCGTTAATGAAATCATTTTTCCATTGACTCAAAACTGTGGGAACGGTAGCTATGAGTGACTTCACAGATGGACTAATAGGTGGATATTTGGTTGGAGTGATGGTAAATGAGGAGCAATAAGTGATTGTCGCACAAAACACCACAAGTTTGAAGCAATACATTGTCTGTTCATTTAGTTATAATACTGAACCCTAACTCGACTGATCATTGAAATGATTTAACAATTAAAGCTTAGGAAAAATGTTTAAATATGTGTTTAAATAAGTGAAATGACACTTCTTTTCACTGCAGAAAGATTTCCACTTTTGTTGCATTCACTTCAATACGAGTTCAGTTCGGTATAACAGATATCATATGACAGTGGAGTGGAGTTCAGGAAGTTTTATTAGTTTTGAATGTTTGCTCTTTTCATAAATTATCAATTTATTATCGATTTATTGCTAACCATTAGACGATTCACACGTCGTTCATAACATTACGTATACTTATAATTGTCTTCATAGACGAT